CATTTGAACCTCTTGTTGTTCCTCACCACCATCACACTCTTCCTCCTCACCCTTTTCAACCTCTTGTCTGTTCATGACCACCATCACAGTCTTCCTCACCCTTATCAACCTCTGCGGTTCATTACCACCATCACAGTCTTCCTCACCCTCTTCTAGACCATTCCACCCTCTTGTACAATCTCATCCACTTTGGAAACACTTCCTCCGTGTCTATGTTTCTTTTTCAACATCACCCCTCTTCCACTTCCTCGCCACTTCACCACAACTAAGAAAGTGAACTTCCACTGCCTCACTAGGAAGAACATGTTCAACATAAATTTCTACCTCTTCGTTATTCTCCTCTGCATAATAGCCAAGTACAGTGCTTTCTCTGTCATCACTCAATAATCTGACATTATTCATCAGCCTTTGTTTGGACCCCTTCCACCAAAGTTTGAACTCTGCATCATACTTAAATTCTCTAACTATTCCAACCGCTTCAAAATATACCAACGATCCGGATCAATCCTTTGATCACGTGTATCTCTCCTCCAACATACTGTAACCCCTTATTACTAACAAACTTCCCCATGTGATGCAAACAAATGTCGAAAACCATTTCTATACCTACATTCACACATCAACGCTTTACGCACAAATTGGAACAACCATAACCGAAAAACAAAAACAATAGCTTAACTTACCTTTAAGCTTGTCTTTACGCTTGTCTTGACGACCACGAGAACGACCACCGGAACGACCACGGCGAAACGACACCGCAACCACCAACCAAAAAAAAACACCCACAACAACAAACAAAACCAAAACAACACAAACAAAAATCACACAACAAACAAACAACAAAACAACAAAACACAAAAAAGAAAACAAAAAAAAACAACACAACACACCACACAAACACAAAACACAACAAAACCGATACCCAACAAACACACCAAAAAAACACCAACCCACAAACACAACACAAAACAAAAAACACAACAAAACACAAAAAACCCAAAAACAACCAAAAACACCCAACAAACCAAATCAAACCCCAAACAAACAAACGCCCAACCAACAACCAACACAACAACAAACAAAAAAAAAAAACCCCACAACAAACACAAAACAACGAACATCACACAAACACAAAAACACACAACAAAAACCAAAACCACCAAAAAAAAAACACAAACATCAAACAACAAAAGAAAAAAAACAAAAAACAAAAACTAAACATCAAACAACAAAAAACAACCAAAGAAACAAACAAAACACACAAAAAAAACACAAAACAACACAACCAATAAAACAAACACAAACAACCAATCAACAACAAAAAACAACAAAAAAAACCCAAACACACATCCCAAAAACCACCAAAAACACAAACAAAAAACAAAAAAATCAACCAACAAAAACAAAAACCCAATATACAACCAAACAACACAGAAACAAAGAGGCAAAACAAAACAACACAAACCCCAAGCAAAAAACAAAAAAAAAACAAATCAACACCAAACCATCACCACAAGACCACAACAACAACACATACAAAAAAAAACAAAAAAAAACACAAAAAACAACAAACCCAAATCAAAACAAACCAAACACCACAAAAGCACATCTAACAACAAAAAAAAACCCAAAAAAACACAACAAAACAACACACAATACACCCACCAAAAAAACAAACCACAAAAACCCACACAACAATCAAAAAACAACACCGCAAGGACAATCAAGATACAATGCTTCCTGTCAAAGCTTTCCACTACAATGCTTGCAGTAAAACTACGTTTTCCCCCCAATTGAAATATTTACTTTTCACAAATTCTGAACCCTATATCTAATTTCAATTAACAACGTAATTAACTGCTTAATCTAAGTTCAACAGTTAAACATTCCACGTGGCAGAGAGTGGAGGCACAGATCACAGCTCACGTGGCATCGCCGTTTGACACATCCACAAAAACTTAACGCCGTCCATTTTTAAGGACTATTATTCAGAGTTTCAAAACTATAAGGACTAAAAACCATCAAAGTTCTGAGCAGGGACTAAAAACAAAATCGTCTGATAGTTCAGGGACTAAAAACATATTTAACCCTTTAATTTATTACCTCTAACGCTCCATAATTTTATGAATAAAAATTTGAATATTTTATTGGTAAAGGTAATAAGATATAGTTTAGTATATTTTTAAAGATACACATGAACATTTAAAGAAAATTTTTGTTTCATTATCTAATAGAAGAGTGAGGGTGAGATGATTTTAGTTTAACTAGTTTACATGACTTCAAATATTGATATTTTGTATTAATAGACCTTGTATATATACACAATGGAGTTTACAATAATTTATAAAGAAAAAATTGGTGTTATCCACAGAAGTGAGGGCAATTAATTCTAAATCACCAGTGGTTGGATTGGATGGTTTGTAATGTGTGAATTATATAAGCTGAGCAGCAATCCGAAGCCAAATTGTATGCAGTGGGTCCTTGCTTTAAACTTGAGTGTGTCTACCTTAAATTTGTTCTCACACACTTTCTCTAAATGTCCTTTTTCAAGTGCCCAAGTTGATGCCAAGACATGCGGAAAAAAAAAACATCATTATTGGTCCCACACACTCAAATGCAATGAGTGAGGATTCATTTAGTCACTGCTTTTCTATTGTAACATATACATTTCTTCAATAATCTTGAGATACTATTATCCACTGATAGTGTAGTTTTTTTGGACACATTTAAGTTGGGCTCCTATGCATTCCACTATTGTTGGGCCGTTGGCCTGTCATGGACGTAACCTAACAATCTCTTCATGAATATGACAACTATATCATCCCCACTTTCATGCTCCCTTCCTTACTTTCTTTGTTTCCTACACCTCTCTTCCGGAAAGGCCATGTACACTCCCGGAGTTATCTTTCCGAACATCACATCAACCCTTATTTCGGAATCAGTTTTTCGATAATAATTACCTAATTGAAAGTGATACTTAGGTTGATTATGGTGTATTTTGTTCACAACAAACATGTCTCAAACTTTGTGAGTTATTTTACAGCAGATGAGTAGATGACTACAAGTTTCTTCTTTGTCATTGCATAACAAATATGTAATGTTAATTACTTCCCCATACTAGCTAGCTTTGTCGTTGTTGGTACCTTATCTAACAAAATGTGGTGCAATTGATAAAGTTTTTATTCTCCAAAAAGGTAGTGAACATATCAATATCTTCCCCACTATAATTTTTTTACATCTTCATATATGCAAATTTATCTGTATATACTCCTATGTCTTCTTCTTTCCAAACATAGGTATCCTGAAATTACTTATCAAATGATATACTTCCTATCTCTTGTAGTAATATTTGTTCTTTGATTCTTTCCCACTCAAATCTCTCTTTTCTCCATGTAAAACATCATTCATTCCCATAACTTAATCCACACAATCTTTCTACCCCTTTGTTCCCCAACCCTATAGAAAGTTTGTTTGTATTTTTTCTTATTTGCTTACATTAGGGCTTTAAAGAAAGAAAAGTAATAAAGTGTTGTAATAACATATTTAATCAGACATATTTTATCCTATGAAGGAAGAAGCTTACCCTTCCACTTTGCTAATTTACTCTTAATTTTATTCATTACACTTTGCAAAAATTCTTCTATATATCCTTGAATTTTCTCCAACAATTATACCTAAGAATTTGAATGGAACTTTCAATTCAATATAATCAAAAACCTTTTTAATACATCATTCTCTATCTCGAAAGCTTTTATCTTAGTTTTGTGAAAGTTGGCCTTTAAATCCAAAGCTAGCTCGAAACACTTTAGCATACTTTCTATAACCATTATATTTTGTTGTTTAGCCTCACATACAAATAATACAAATAATGTATCATCGACAAACGGTTACATGTTCACCTCATTAACTAAAAAATCTCATAAATTTTTTTTTCATAGAAAGTAATTCTTAATTAAACAATTATGATTAAACAAAGTCTTTCTCTGTTTCGGATTCAAGGCACACATACAGTATAATCTTCTTAAAATATATACTTCCATTGTGATTTTATATTTTTTTCTACATAAAGGTAAAATTATCTCTATTTAATTTTCACAAATATAAATACAGAATTATTCTATTTGATACTTTTTGGAATCTAAATTTCAAAACACATTGTATTTGATATCAAACTTCAAAGTTTAAATAAACTCATAAAAGTTCTCTTTACTCATAAGGTTTGTAAAGTGGATTCTTAAATCCCTATCATACGAGTTTACTTTATATATACTTTTTTTTTATAAATATCCACATAATTCAAATATCTTATATCAAAACCTATTTTTTCTTTTATCATTTATACTTTCACTTTTAACTTTTAATACATGAAAATATACTTGATATGTTATCAATATGAATTAAATCAATTTCTATTTCAATTACAAAATTAAAAAAATTATATTATACAATTATTAAATTACTAAAAATAATTCATAATTCTTGATTATAAAAGTTAACGAAAAGAATTATATTATAAATAATATAATATATTCTTTTTGTGAAGTGGTATAGGCAATAAGTAAAATTAGTGGGAGTAATTGAAATCAAGACTTAATTATGTTTTAACTTCCTGAATTTTTTTTATCTATTAAGTTTTCAATAAATTTTTATTTTTTGACTAAGTCTTTATTATTATTATTTTTTAATTAAATGATATAATTATTAAATTTTATAATTTTGTTTATAATTTTATAAAATTATAATATAATAGTTTTATAAATTTACAATGGTATAATTTTATACTTTCACAATTTAAATAGGTGACAATTTGACTTATACCAAGTTATTTATTCCGTAATCATACTATCTAATTAATAAAAAAAATTAAGAATAAAATTTCAATTAAAAAATATAAATTTATTAAGTATAGACCAAAATAATTAATTAAGGACTTTATTAAAAATTTCCAAATTCATCCTCAAACCTAATCAAGCTTAAAATCAATAAAAATCTCACCCACCCACACTTAAAATAAAACAGTTCAGGGGGAATAGTGGCCTCCCTTTCTCTACTTAACCTAGGGCACGACGGCCACCGAGAGATCGGTCTGTGACTCAACATCAAAGGGTTCTAATAAGTGAGTTTTCTTCACATCAAACTACTGTCGTTTTAGGTTTTAAAAATTCTTCTCTTCGATCGCCAATTTGGTTGCAAAATCGCGACACCGATTCTACTGACTTTACATCAAAATCAAGTTTGTTTGTAGAAACTTAAACTGTCCAATTGTTCACTTTCTCTTCATATATAGCAAGCATTTGTTCACTGATGGTTACTTATATAATGAGAGTGTTGTAAGTGAGAAGTAGTTGATCTTCCACACTACATTTTATTAGGTTTTTTAAATTTATTGTGATATGTGTGACCCACTTGTTACTTACCAATTACTCACCCAACAGTTCATTACCCACTGTTATTTTGGTTTTGCTTTTAATCTTTTTTTTCCCTCTTCTTGCCTTCTGCATGGGAAGAAGATTGCCAATTCTATATATGTAATTAAACAAATAGTTTAAACTACTTCCACTCATTCTATTATATACTCAGCTAGCCAACACACAATAATATTCAGGATCCTTTGTCAAAATAAAGGAATAATTTTTTTCTGTTCCACTCAAGGTAAGTTTGATTAAGTCATTTGTTGCTTTATGATTTGGATCTAGTGTCTAAGGTAAACTTTGTCTGGAATTTCAACATTGGCAAATTGGTGTAAGAATAACTACCAAACAACTAGAAGAGTAAATGAAAAGAAATTTGACAATGCTCATTTAAATTTCATAAGTTACAGAGAATTTCAGCTCATGACAGGGCAGACCTATGCATCTTAAATATAAGAACACATATAAAAACATTTAAGAATTCACTCATAATCTAATGGATTCAGCTTTAGGGTAAGTTGTTCCGTGACAGTATAGATATCTATTTCTTTCGTTGCCTCTACTTAGTTTTCTGTCTTTGTTGCCTCTTTTACTGGCACTATTTTTGATTCACATTTCTGTTCACTTGTACCATTTAAAGTAATGATCTTCCATTACTTGCTAAATACTTATCCAGTTATACATGCCCAAAACTCGTTACAACTAAACACCTTGTTTATATAAAACCAGTAACAAAGTTTTTTGCTACCCATGTTTAGTAAGAATTGAACTGGCAAAGAAATTATTTGAGATTCTGCATTGGTTCAATATTTGGACATTGCTATTTCTTTAGTAGGAGAAACTACACTAACTCAATTTTGTTGCTTCTAATGCCCACCCCACCCAAATTTTGCCGTAAGTTAAAATTGTATTAAGATGTAATTTTTGATAATTCAATTATTTAATTTTGTGTTTATTTGTTGCTTTATTGCAGAAGCAAAGGAGAAACTTCCTTTTATTATTTCCTTCTCTCTATCTCTCTCTAGTGTCTCACAAATGAAGATGTATGATTCCTCCAGTGTTTTTTGTTTTCGAATTAATACACTATTTCTAATTGAACCTTTCTCTTATCTATTGGCATATGGATGATGTTTATTAACTTTTTTATAGTTTAGAGGCCAATGCTGGTGCACTCACAAATTTTGAGGTCCTTGATTTCTTACGAACTAAAGGAGCTTCAAAGGATCCAACAAGGGTTATTGCCAAAGTAGCTCAGTCTGAATACAAGGTTAGGTTTGCTTTTTTTTAATAGATGACAATATTTTTTAAGTTCTATTGGTAGATGAATCTCCTGCATATCTAGCAGGTTTATGATTATTTGGTTGACACTGCTGCCTCTGATCAAACAAGAGAGAGCATCAACGAGTTTTTGACTAGTATTAAACAGCATGACCTAGCAAAAGCCGAGGTTCTGAACATATTAAACACTAGGCCAGCTGCTGAAGTTGAATTATTCCCTGTAAGTATCAAAATTTTAATTTTTCTACTTATTTTACACTAAACCACATAGTTAGAAGTTATTAGCTCTGCAATGTGTTTCTGTTATTTGCCTTCAGCTTTGAAATATGAGGTATGAAGTGTTGAATTTTAACTTTTAAGCTGTGATGTAACTTGTCAACTCTAGCATATAAGCAACAAACAATTCTGACAATTAATAGGTATTGTAGCATTATTCCTATTTTTTCTTGTCATATATAATCTGCTCTGATAATATCAAAATATAGTTTCTAAGAAAACTGTTATTCGGAAGGTCAGCCATTTTGGAGACATGTCCCTGCATGATTAATAGCACAGAATGATAGAAAAGAAAGAGTAGTTAGTTGATCCTTAATTCACATCTTAGGTGTAATAAGCCATAGAATTTTGAATGATTTGTTAACCATTTGTATTTTGTTATGAATTCCCGAATTTCTTTTCTAGGGAGTCCTGTGAGCGGGAGACAATTAGACTTATAAATGCCTGTTAATGAGTTTTAGAAGGTGAACCATATTGATAAGTGAGGGGCTGCCTTGTGAGCTATTGAAGTCATAGGTTCATATATTAGAAACATACTCTTCATTCTCCATTTATGAGGATAAGGCTGCATAATGCACTGGGTCGCCTTTGGTTTGAATACATCAGTTAGTGGTCATGGGCTAATCCTGATGGACCAAATCTACAAGATTCAATCTTTTCAGTTTTTAAATCTCTCTGTTTTGTTACCTTAGTGAACTTTTACTTACCACAAACTTTGCTCATTTAAGGGGATGATGGAGTATATTATTATACATTTTTAACTTATTATACACTATAATTTCTATTTAGATGACAGCATAAAATATTTTTACATTTATAGAATATAGTCAGTGTTGCTATACCTATTATTTTTTTGTTTAAAAATTACTCCTTCGTTAAGAAAAATTTACTTGGGGTGAGGGTTTAATGTTGATGGTTAAAAATACATGAAAGACGAAACATGTTTAATTTATTTTGTAGAGATTGAAATCAAAATCCAACATTTTTGAAGGACTAAACCTTTTTAGCCCTGTAGCTGATTATCATATTTTTGTCAAATTTGCTTTGGGATATTTAAATTCCTGATTAATTGTGTTTGCGCAAGGAGTGAGCAGGTTGGAACCATCAGGTTTGGAAGTCTCCCATTTTCTAGTGGTCATAATTTTAAGCCAAAAAATTAAAGGGTTGTGTTATGCTTGATAATAATTTTCTGCCACGAGAGTATTGTTATCTCTAATTCTAAATCTCGAGTTCTCCATTCTTGGTAGGACTTGAATTTGGGACTCTGATAATGTGGTTTAAGATATTTAAAGTCTATTTCAATAGGTGCCCCTACGAAACTGTAATTAAACAGTTTGTTCACTTTGATTACACAGATCATAGAGAGTTGTGAGGGGCGTCTTCCAGATGAAGAGGTGACCGAAATAGTAGAGCTGGTGACAAGAACATTGCCGCCACCTCCCAGTATGAAGCAGGAAGAAATCACCAAGGTTGACGAAGAAACTGCTACATTAAAAAATGAAAACGATGAGGTTATTGAAGATCCCACGGACACAAGACAAGACAACTAATTGGGTGCTATTCATATAAAATTGCATCTTAATTTTATGTACAATTATTACATAATTGTTTTTGTTATCTCTTTTTTATCATATTATATAATGTATAAATTTATCACTTTTACTTTTTGCTAGGTGTATATTAAAAATTGATTTTTTTTATTACATGAATACTTTCTACAATCTATTAACTTTTTGCTTGAAACTCTCATCTCCAGATGGCTTGTTGAAATTCTCATGTGTATTTCATTTTTTTATTTACTTAAAATACATTAATAATATAAATTTTTTTTATAATCATTCGATTATAGATTATACTGAATAGCGCGTGATAATATTTTGACAATAATTGCTTTTAAAATCTTATCTAGAATGATTTTAATTAGTTTATGGAAGCCATTTTTTATTTTTTATTTTTAGCTTGTATTATTTTCAAACAACTGAATTAACTTATATTACTCTAATTTAATAATAATCTTGAGCTTGAATTGGGAACATAAAATTGTATTAGATATACTAGATTTTAATTTTTTTTACATTAAAATAATATAATTATAAAAATATATGTAATTTAAAAAAAGTAATATTAAAAAGCCTTAAAATAATACAATTTAGAAAATATATAATTTTTATAAAAATCATGTTAAAAAATGATATTTACTTTAAAAAATATTTAATCAGTTTGAAATAAAGAAAAGTAGTTTAATTATTTATTTTATTAAATAAGTAAATTATTTTTTATTTATTAAAAAGTAACAATCGAATTAAAATATAAAACACTAAAGAAAGTTATTAAATAATAAATCTCGTAACATGAAAATAAAATCTTACCATCTATATTTTTTAGTTGGATTGAAGAATCATCATCTATTACCTATAATATTAACTCCATTGAAAACATGTATTGTCGTAAAAATACTAGAATGTTTGTTGAGTTTTTAATTAGTTGTCCGATTATTTTAGGCTAACCAGACTACTAGTATTTTCTTCCATAGACAATATAATTGGATCGTTGTACGATTGTCAAATTTTAAACAAGGATTTGATTTTGGATCGTTCCTGTATAATGTAGGTAAACTAAACTATTATTTTAGTCTTGAGAACTGTAATTTACGGTCATTTGTGTGTCATCTAAGTCCATAGAAGTATTCCTCACAAATGAGTTCTCAAAAGTGTTAAATTAAAGAAGTTCTTGAAGATATAATTTACGCGTTAATTTAGCTTTGATGCTAAGATAATGCTTGCAGTAACTTACATATGTTAACAGTTATTTTTATTCGTCAACTTAATCGTTTACTGATATATGTTTTCACTTTAATAGGCAGACATATATTAGTTTGAATGGACCTCATTTTAGAATATTTAAGTGTCACATGGATTATATTTTCAGAAACTTTTGATGAATTAGTCACTATCTATCCTTTAGAGAAATTATTAAAACCGTTCTTGGATTGTGAGAGTAAAATCTGTTTATAGTAAGTAGTGAACAGTAAAAGGAATGTTTTTTTTTTCCTTTCCCATTAATTCCACATCTTAATTAAATTTCAACGCCACACGCTACATTTGCGATAAACACAATAATTGTAAAATGCATGTCATTCATTTACTTACATAAATGACTTACTAAACTACGAGCGCGTCATCATCTTCTTGAACTCCTCGAAATTCACGCTGCCGTCGCCGTCGGCATCCACGTTTCCGATCATTCTCCGGCAGTCACTGAGGGAGCACTTCTCCCCCAGCCTCCGCATCACGGAGTGCAGCTCCTTCGCCGAGATCAGCCCGTTCTTGTCCAGATCGTACATCTCGAACGCCTCCCGGAGCTCCCTCCCGTCGCCGCCGCCGCCGCCGCAGTGGAACTCCCCGAACTCCTTCAAATCAATGTAGCCGTCGCCGTTGCGGTCGAGCTCGGCCATCATGCGTCGCACCTCTTCCGTGGTCGTTTTCGATCCCAGCGCCGCCATCAACTCCCTCAGCTCCGCGGACGAGATCTTCCCGTCGCCGTTCTTGTCGAACTTGTTGAAGATCTTGCGCACCTCGTCGTCCATGGCGACACCGAGAGAGAAAAAAAAAACGAAAACCAGAAAACTGAAGATTTTGGGGTTGGGTGAGTTCCGCTCCGCTGGTTGCGGTGACTCACTCGCGCTTTATAGAAAGCGCGGTTATGCGATTGGATGAGTCAGGCAAACGCGTTAAGAAGTTGTGAAAGAAAGGAAGTGTTGTGTGAGGTGTGAGCCAAACGCGGTATTGTTGAGTGTGGCAGAAGCGGTGAGGTAGTTAGTTAATTGAAAGCGAAGGAAGGTTTTATCAACCACAAGAAGTTGGAACGCGTGGCATCTCCTCGTGGAGTGCACGAGAATCAAGATATCATGTCCTTATCATGTTTGATAGAATTTCTGCCCTACAAAAGTTGTTTCTAATAATTTACAAACGTACTTATTTTTAATTAATTACTTATGTGAAATTATAGAACAGGACATATCGACGGTGATGATGCGTGGTCACATGGTGACATAGTGACGTAGTGATAGAAGAGAAGAGAAGAGAAGGATATGGTCCACATACTCACACATCACATGCCATCATATGTGATAAAAGTGACCTTACTCATGAAATGTTTATTCATTTGGCGCCAACTAATTAATGGACTTTCTTTGGCAGATGCACCTGTCTTTTGCCTACTCATTTCTTCAAAGGAAGAAACAACTTTTACTATGAACAACATTTCTTTTTTTTTTCTTTGTAAAAGAAGACAAAGGTAAAATAAAGTGTCACTGTGTTTAGTTTAGTTTAATTTAGGTAGCGAATTTTAAAATTCAGTGTAATTATTTTTGGGTTACTAAGGTGAGACTGATGGTATCGATCCAGTTTGATGGTTAACAAACACTATCCATTATAAAGTTGATTTTTAGTGGGCTTTCTTTCCAAATAAAATTTCCATAATTGGTGACAAAGATTAAAATCCATCATATGCGGATGTTGCAGTGAACTAAATATTATTGAAAACAATGGGGAGTTGTTGCTGTTGTTTTGTTAATTGTGGCATGAATTGAGGTTGTCTTTGATAACAGTGTTTTGAAACATGTCTTATTTGCTTGCAGTTGTCATTGAAGTGAAGGGGTTTAAGGTGGATGGATGCTTTGACAACACTGGCATCCCTGTTTCTATGGCGACGACAACATTATCACAAATAGCTGTACAATAATTACACTTTTCATTTTGTCGCATATTCAGCTCAAATTATCAACAAACCTTTTACGCAATCTACTTCAAAGTTGAGTAACGCAAAATAATTTGCTTGACTTGACTAAAGTAAGTTTACCGTGTGTCCGTTCTCTCAAATCCGCACAGTCAGCCATTAATTAAATGATTTAACTCTATGATCGATGATTTGTGGGTTGAACTTTTTAGCTCATCATTTTGGATCGAGTTCCTTTCATGAATTATTCTCAATCAAACTTTTTTAGATTGAGTTTCTCATGACTAGTTACTTTACACAAAATTTCTTTGATACACTATTATAGGATGAGTTTCTTTAAGTCCTTTACTGTTGACTCTCGGTCAACCTTTTAGACATCGATTCGTGATTACCGAATAATATTACTGATAAGTTATAAAATTATCAACTTAACAATGATAATAACGAATTAATCTATTAATATTATGATTAAATCGTGATTAGATTATTAAAAAGAATAAAAATTCATAACAAAATACTATAAATAAAAATTTAAAGTATGATTTTGAGATACATACACATAACATGAGTGCATCAATTGCTAACCAATCAATCATCACTTTATTTAAAAGATATATAAAGTGATTATTATAATATAAATTTAAAAAAATATATTAAATTGTTATTATAATATAAAAAAATTATATATATATATATATATATAATTATAAAATTTATTGTGTGATTTTCGTTATATATAATAGGTTTGAATACATTTTTTAATAAATACAAACATTAAGGTAGAAAAAGATATATTTATTATTTTATGATTATTAAAATGATCATCTAAAATCAAGAGTATGTAAGATTTAAAGGTGACTGTGAAATTCATAAATATACATATTAAATGAGTAAGTATTAAACTTGAGTGAGAAAAAAGATAGCTAAATAAATTTGAAGGAGGAGTGACTAGTAAGAGGTAAGTGAAGCTTACATTCTTTTATTTTTGTTTTCTTGTTTTCTTTTCTTATCTTTTTATTTGTATGTGATATAGTATTTTATATGAATCTAATTTGTGGAGTAGATATTATTTAATATGATTATGATGACATGTTAATATGTGCTGTTTAACGTAAATAAATATTTGTGTGTGGTGACTAGAGAAAGGTTGTGAATGATAACTTTGTGTAGTTGTATCGAATGTAAACTTTGGCATGAAAGCTCTTAAAGAGTGTGGTAGGAAGTAACACCAATATACTTTGTTGAAGAAGTTATGGATGAGATTGATAGAAAGTGGATCCAATCTTTTAAGACTTGAGCGAAATGGGAAGGTGCCCTATGTGAAAGGCTTGAGGGAAGTAGAAATGGTAATTGCTTTAACGGTGAATATTGGTAAATTACGTACTAGAGTTACAAATCGGTTATTGACGTGTGGTTGTATAAATTACATTGATGATATACTTTATATAGTTATATTAGAAGAAATTTGAGATAGTCTTTTAGTCTTAAATTTTTTAAATAAAGTTTATAGTGGTTAAACAATATTTTTTTATTAAAATTTTCAATAAAATAAAAATTTTATTTTATTTTAAATTAAGTAATTTATCTTAATTATAAATTGTGAAAAATTGGGGTTTTGCAAACATATGCTTCCCTCGTCAATGGTATTTGCTTTCTGAGTGTAATTTTGCAAGGTTACTGTCACTACCAGTCATACCAAAGCAGGCACAAAGGTGATGAACAGTTTATTAATGTTTCAACTGTAAACTCTTGGTACGAAGGTATAATGGAAAAATTTATCCCAAATTTCATTGTGTCTTCTGTTGGTTGAAACAGATGTTCTCGTTCTCGTTCCATTACCTCGAATCTCATCTTCTCTACTCTAATGACAAAATTTTGACAATTTCATTCAGAGTTTTTTCTTTAAAAATTCATTTATGAATTTGACACATTAAATCAAAATAAGAAAGTTGAATACCTATTATATAAAGGAAATTTGTAAACCAATTACATTAAGGTGTTTTGGATCGAAGGTATTTGTTGATCCCTTGTCTTCCAGAAAATTGGCTAAAATCATTATTATGATATTCTTTTCCAAACACTTAATTTAGAGTATTTCCAGAACTGAATGAAGAGATATTTTGACATTTCAAAAGGTATAAATATAAACGACAAGGTGCAAAAGAGAAATTAGAGGGCTCGCCAACCCAAACCCAAATACCTATTTCTAAAGTTATATAACATAAATTACAACTGTATATATGTAAATAATTAATTTAGATAATTTATAAATATATAACTTACATACGAGTATATTTATACTTAAAAAAATTTAACTCTAGTGTAATAATATATATATATATATAATTGTTAATAGTTTATTGGTCGGTGAGTATCCCATTGTTTTAAGGACCCAAGTTTTATACCGGTAAAAAACTTGATTTATTTTGAAACACAATTTATTTCATTATTTAATAATCAACCCATTTTAACAACTTTTTTGAACTTGTGAAGGAATTATTTCCTCACTAATCCAATTTTTTTAATCTGTATTTTGATACAATAATTTTACGAGGAACAACTGCAACATAGCTGGGGAGTAACTCGAGAATTTTTTTTTTCTTAACATTAGTTTTTCCTTTTTAGTTTTGTAGATGTTGGTGAGGAGGAACCTTTTCTATTGGTAAAATTTTCTAATTTTGTATCGGATTAATGACATAGCTTTTTGTAATTAAGAAAATTCTGATTTTGTGACGGAATAACAAGAAAGATGCATGGCTTTATGAAATCTTAGTTCATTAACTACGAATAAGTTACAAAATTTTTCCTTTTGCCATTTCTCTCAATAAGTAGAAAGGTTATTGAAAAGTATTTGCCTCACGAATTCCATCATAAATCAATGAATTTCTTATAATTAATGAATACGGAGTCACCTCGTTTAATGGAAGAAAAATTAGTTTTTTTTTTAAATAAAAATCTAGAGTTGAAAAAACCTGCTATCATCATTATTTACTTTTTCTAAAATAATAGAAAATCATGTTTCTTTTGAGAAAGTTTTTAATAATTTTTTTTCACAAATAGTACAAATTTAAGTTTCACAAATCAATATAAATTTGAGTTTTATTTTTCATTGTATTTTTCTTAACACTATTTTTTTCTCTTCAGCTAGAATATTGGGTTTGAGTCACTAGTGCAGCGAAGGGCTTTTACCGCGGTTCATTTTCACTATACGTCGCGGTTCTTGAACCGCGGCATATTCAGCCGCGGTAGTAAGTCAGACACTTTATACCGCGGTTCGAACCGCGGTATATAGGCTGCGGAATATGCCGCGGTTGTCTAGGGAACCGCTGCCTAAACCCTAAAAAAAATTTAAAAAAAAAAATTAAAAAATGCACTATATGCCGCGGCATATAGGCCGACGAATATGCCGCGGTTAGTGTCAAAACCGCGGCCATATGTCTCGTTTGTAAAAAAAAAACGAAGCACTATATGCCGCGGTTGTGGTTAGAACCGCGGCATATTCCCCTGCAGTTTTTTAAAATTGCAGGTCTGTTTTTGTGATATCCATTACCACAAAAACAGACCTGCATATAAAAACATTTACAGAAATTCAATTTCAACATAACAAACACATGTTCAAATGTATTTCAACATCAAATAAAGTAGAGAGTCTAAGAAAATTCTATCTAATCAAATGCATTGTTTAAATCTAAATCTAAGAGCTATTGTATAATCTAACTATATACTTCGCAGCAGCGTTCCTAATGAATAGTAGTGACTTCTCAGGAACTGGTGTAGTAGTCTTGAATCTCTGCAAAAGACAATTCATTTTAATTAGTGTATATGAATTCAACATTTGTTAAAAAATCAAAATTTGTTAAAGTTAAATATTACCGTTTCCCAGCTTCTTGTGATGTGAGAACGAACAATATGGGTCATCCAATACATTACATAGTATCCACACTCATATGACCCATTTTGTCTGTTACACTACAATATATCATCACAGTTGATAATAGTTAGTGAATAACATTTGTTATAAAACAATTATAACAAAGTCAGTGGGAAAATCCATTTCTTCGCCGTGCCAGATCCAAGTTGTATAGCATCTTAGAAAACCATCACATATAAGATGTTCTCTAATTTGAGTTGCGTTCAACTTTCTCCCATTCAAACAGTTCACACAAGGACATCTAAACTTCACTTCATCATCACTTCTCCCCTCATTACGTTGCGCAAATTGTATAAATTCCTCTACACCTCTCTCGTACTCAGCACTAATACGTGGTAAATTAATCCAATTTCGATCCATATTCCTAAATATTACATAAAAAGATAAGCTACTAAAAATCAAACTTGCAATTTCATACATATCATTGAAACTTAGTGAATAATATTTTAAGGTTTATAAATAATACAAGAACTACAACACACATTACCAAAACTATAGCAAAAACCATACCATATATTACCAAAACTATACCAATTTCATGCATTACCAAAATTAAAGCAAAAACTATACCATACATTACCAAAAATATAGAAACTTCATACATTACCAAAACTCTATCATTATGCCAAAACTAATGAAGAAATCATCTTAAGAATGCAAAAGGGCATAAATACCTGGAAGAGGAACGGCGAAAACGCTTGGTGCAAAAAAAACGAAATCGCAGCGGAGAGGGAATGACGCGTTTCAAACGATTTTGATCGGCTCAAACTGTTTTTTATCGTCACAAATGAGAAAGGACCGAACAATTTCAAGTTTAAACGGTGAAAAATAGCGTATTGGAGATGATGGGAGTCGGAGGGAGAAGAAAAAACGCGAAACAGAGCTTGCGGGAAGAAGACGATCACTGTTCAAAGTTTTAATTTTTAACTCTGAACGGGGGAATCTACCGCGGTTCACTACTTAACCGCGGTAGAATATAGGTATATGCCGCGGTTTCACGCCCAACCGCGGCATATACTGAGTAAATAAATAATCCTAAATGGCATTTTTGAAATTATTTTCAAACTATATGCCGCGGTTCAGCGGTCAACCGCGGCATATACCTCGAAATATTTCAAATTCATATTAAATTAATTTCAGAGAGGCGAATATGCCGCGGTTCTACGAGCAACCGCGGCATATACCCCTGTAACGTGCTGAACACAACTGTCTCCCCAACTGCCTTTTGGGGAATTTCAGAAGTTACAGGGGGTATATGTCGCGGTTCTCTGGACAACCGCGGCATATACCCCCTGTAACTTCTGAAATTCTCTGACTGGCAGAGAAGTTGAGACGTTACAGGGGTATATGCCGCGGTTCCCCAGAGAACCGCGGCATATACCCCCTGTAACTTCTGAAATTCTCTGACCCAGTCAGCACTTGCAATAAATTGGCTGGGTATATGCCGCGGTTGTGCAGAGAACCGCGACATATACTCTGTTATTTAATTTTTTATTCATACGTGGCGTCAAAGGCAATGGTTGACTGGGGTATATGCCGCGGTTCCCAGTAGAACCGCGGCATATATGTTCGTTTTATTTACAAAACTGCCACCGCGCACCATTATGCTGCGGTTTTCGTTGAACCGTGGCATAATGTGCGCTGTAAAAACCCGATTTTTTACTAGTGAGTAGACTAACATAGGAGTTTCTTCGTGATGAAACAACTCTATCTATTGCATTAACTATTTCCTGGCATAAGTTAGACTAAACCAAGTTATAATCTAATTGTAACATTCAACTGTAACATTATTCAACAGGAAATATTTGTGTTTTAATTATGAGGTTATAACCTTTAACCTAATCCTCTTAATCCAAAAGTTGTCATTAAAATTAGTTATTTGTCCTAGTAATTAGATCGATCATACATGTATTACATACATTTAAGAATATTTACTTAATATCTTTAATTTAAAATATTTTTTTAGAAAAATAATTTTTAAATATTATTTATATATAGAGAAATAAAGAGAGAGGAAACATGTAAATAAAATAAAAGAGAAGCTCCTCCACATATAATCAAGTAATAATGCTTGTGAAGTAAAAAAAAAAATTGTTTTAATTATGAAAAATAACTTAACATATTAATAAAAGTTTAATCTAACAACTAGTATTATCGATGATTTGTTTTAGTGATCATCTCAGATAAATATGACTTAAAATGGGTGAAGGTCTTCTTTTTTAGAAAAGTTATTCTGTTGTAGAACCGTGATGCAAATGAAAGGTCACCATGAATACTTGTGGTTAAAAAATCACATTCAAGGTATATTATTGTGAAAGAGATTCATATTTAAGATAAATCATTTTAAAGCTTTTATTTGAAAATGAGAAAACGATATCACAAATTGCACAGTACAAGCATTTTAATATGACAATTTTGTTTTCTTTTTATTTCCCCTTCCTTGTCAAATAAAATATAGACACTTTAATTCCACAAAAATTAACAAAAGAGGAGGATGGGAGTTGGCCATTCCAAGTATTATCAATTTATCATGTATAATGCATGCAAGTAGTACGTAATGATTAGGGTGTGGATTAGTTCTCTATTGTGTTTCTCAAATAAGATAGATACGATTTTAAACAATCCCATATTTCATCTCCTTGTTTGGAAGAAATTTTGGAGGAATCTACATAAATGAAGGTCAATAAAGAAATTTTACAATGTTGGATATAACCGCCAATGTTTTGTCAGACCAAGGTTTCCAAACCTATTCTTCTTTTGCTAATTATGGTTTGTTACTTCGGGGACACAGGATAAAGCAAATCCCTGAAGAGGGACCATGCATGTAGGACTGTGAGACATGTCATTTGACAAAGTGACCAAATATAGCAAAACATTTTCAACCATTCTATAAAAGATCATGTACTTCCATTCATATTTGAAAAAAAAATGATTTTGGCCAAGTTTGGTAAACAAATTGTGAATTGTGTTATCTTTGTTAATTAGGCCTTAACTGTCAATAATAAGTAAACCCCATCAACTAAATATGGCATAATCTTATCCAGATTGTTTAAAAGCCAAACTCTTAGGCCTTTTAACCCCAATCTCCGTAGTGTAACACCAAAACCAGAAGAAACTCATTCTTTTACGTACAATACAAACATTCCACAATGGCCGAAGATGATCCTCAAGATGTAGCTGATAGGGAACGAATTTTCAAGCATTTTGATTCCAATGGTGATGGGCAAATCTCTTCACAAGAGCTTGGTGAAGCCCTTAAAGCACTCGGATCTGTTACCCCAGATGAAGTTCAACGGATGATGGATGAAATTGACACAGATGGTGATGGCTTCATTTCTCATCAAGAGTTCACAGATTTTGCACGAGCCAACAGTGGTCTAATTAGGGATGTAGCCAAGATTTTCTAAGTTTTTCCCATTCAACAATATTTACATCACAATCATTGTCCATGTGTGTTCATCATTTTTATATACGATGTAACAATGGTAGGTTCATGATGTTAACCTCTTTGGGGGTTAGTTTATGGAGTCGTATGGCCTAATGCTTTTGTTGTATAGTCATGTCTTGGGATAAACTTAATGTGACTGTTTTTCGGATGTTCATTATTATAAGGGAAGGTCATTGACATTAAGTTAGAGGCAGTTGAGATGCTCTATTCTCAATAACAAACACCAGAAGTTATGTAAATCAAAATCTTAATCCTTAAGGTTGCAACCAGACGCAGACAAGAGATAAATAAATGTACAGAGCTATATATATATATATATATATATATATATATAAACATCAAACTATATATGTAAAATAGAAAATAAAATAACCCTATTCTAAAATTAAATTTATTGTTTAAAAAGTATCTTTACTTTATACATTGAGTGTTCATCTTCGTCTATTCTTAATGTATTCCCTGTGTGTCCTTTTATTCTTTTACTTGTTGAGGGGCATTATGAATTAGGTGGGGGAGAAGTAGAACAGGGTCTTCTCAAAATGGAAACTCCACAACACGCCCTTCATTTCAATGAAGGCTTTTTACCATCCAACAGAAGAAAACCTTTCTCTTCACTATCATATTAATGTAACCAATTTTGCTAATAACTATGTTAGAGAACCTATGGCAGTTGAATATCTTCTAGTTTTACTAATAACTAAAATATGTTCGAGAACCTCAATAACCAAACACCTGCAACGAAATGATACAAAAACATATTTATGAGAAAGAAAGCTTTAAATGAAATTGAAAATCATAAATTTCCCCACATGAATTGAACATGATTCACAACATGAATGAAAATCTATTAGGTTACCCTTTGTGAAAAGGGAAAGGGAAAAGGAAGGTATCTACACACAATCTTCATCTAAGCTCCTATTTCTATTTACAATTTTAACTCGCTCACATCTAATCTTTAGCACTCTTAGTCACAATCATAACAAAAAGTAAAAGGTTATTGAAGAGTTGTCAACATATGTTTTATCGACCATAGAGATAGTCATCATCCTCAAACTCTGCAACTCCTAGCATAGCTAAAGCCAAGTGACTTTTCATCTCATTATTTGTTTGTTGTAACTGAGAATAACAATCAATCACGCATCCATTTCCAAGAAAACTGGATTTCTTTCTTCTGGATAAAAGAGGCTCTTCTTCACCCTTCAGTATTGCAATAATCTCACGTATGCCAGGTCTCCGAGATTCTTCATTAGTGACACAGGCAGCTGCTGCATCAATCATTCTACCCATTTGATTTGAGAATCTCAGACTGCACTTGAGTTGAGGATCAAGCAACTCTTCAATGGCACCTTTCCCTTTCTGTAGAAAAGGTTTGGCCTGGAAATGAATTTTGGATTGGACATGTGTTAACAAGACCATATCAATTCCATATTCCTGTTCTTAACTTAAATGCGGTGCCGTAATTACTCGCACAAATGTGGTCATAAATGTGAAACTTTCGTGGAACCTTTCCACTATAAAGGAAAACATAATTCACTGTGGACACTTCAATGTAAATGAATAAACTCCCTAATTCCATTCATCCACCAAGAAGAACATATTAATTAAAGTATATATCTAAACTATCAAGATGCATTACAAATCTAGCTGTAATGGTTTATAGCTTAAATCTACGTCAAGTAAGTTTCATTACAGAAGCAGATAAAATAAACAATGTTGAACTAAATTTTGTGTTGTATAGGAGTACACATTAGGTACATAATGTTCCTAGAAGCAATGAACTAAGGTGAAATTGGTGTTATTGATTTATTGCTTTGATATACAAAAAAGATGCAGTAGGTTAAGCTAAAGAAGATTTTTGCTACGAGCAATCATATATACACACAAGAGGAATAAATTCCACCATCATGATATCATAAAAAAAGAAGGCAATTTCGCAAGAATTAATGCAATAACTCACCCATAACACCAAGTTTTCTTCTCCTGAAGGTCTTCTTGCCTCAATTGGCTTCCGGCCAGTAATGAGTTCCAGTAAAACCACTCCAAAAGCATATACATCAGTCTTATCCGATACTTTCCCATGTTGGAAATACTCAGGAGCCAAATATCTGTAGGGAAAGCAGAGGCATAGAAGTTTTATTTTCAGCTAATCTTAACATGAAAAGAAATTATACACACGAATAATATTTTTGAAGAATCAAGATAAAAGACTGAAGTTTGTACCCAAATGTTCCTTTGACGGTTTTGCAAAGGAAAGGAACTGAAGGTGCAGAAGTCCATGTAGCTAATCCGAAATCACATAGCTACAATTTAACAAAAACAATCAGAATGACATGCATGAGCTCCATAGGAGACAGATTCTACATTACATAACAAAGGTCTACGATTGATTCACGAGAAAATGTCCCACCTTGGGAGTCTTCCTTGAAGAAAGCAGAATGTTTGAGGGCTTAATATCTCTATGCACAACACATCTTTCAGTCCCACTATGCAGATAAGCCACAGCTTCAGCAATCCCAATTGCAACTTTGTACCTCACAGACCAAGGAAGAGGTGAACTACCCTTCTTCCTTCCTGCAAAAAAGACATGTCAGAATCAGTGAAATTCAATTCAAAACCTCACAAAAGAAAAAGCAGGTAAATTCTGAGAGATTAATACCATGCAAGTGGCGCTCCAGACTGCCCCCTGAGACATACTTGTACACCAAAAACAGACCCTCCTCGGGATCAATACAAAAACCCACAAGGGGAACGACATTTGAACTGTGAAGAGAACTAGCAATCATCAATTCTCTGCAGAAGGCCTTGGCAGATTCCTTGTCTTCCTTGTCCAACCGTTTGATTGCCACAGCAGTCCTCAAAAGGCCAACTCTCCCCCTAAAAACACAGCTTAATGCCCCTCTCCCCAACACCCTCCCTACATACACCATAACATAGAAACAAATCATGATCTCACACAAACCAATCAACTTTCATAAAAGAACAATAAAAAACATTCAAAGCATATATATAAAAAAAGGTTAATAATGTCTTTAATACATGAAAAAATTCCCCAATTTCAACTTTAGTCTTGACTTTTAAGATGAATAGTTTCTTCGCTATATTTTTTTATACTACTCAAACTTTAGTTCTAAAACATTAACACTTTCTCCACCACAATTTAGGTATTTTGAAAAACATACAGAAATTAAAACCAAAATTTAGTACTTTTTACCAGGACTAAAGTGTTTATTAACCAAAATAAGAGGAAGAAAAAAATAACTTACCCTTGGAGAAATTCCTAGTAGCAGAGAGAATTTCACCATAGCAGAACCTGATCAAGGAGTGAGCCACAGGGGATATGCTCTTCTCCAAGGACTCCATTCTCCTCCATTTGATTTCCTTGGCGCGAGATTCACTCACCCCATTATCCAAATTAACCATCAAAACGGTCGCAGCACTGGAAGAACTCATGTTGAGGGACTCCAACTCAACCTGAGAACAGAAACTGAACCTGAAAGAGGAGTGAACCGATTGAGGGTCAGCATTGGACAATTCTGCTCCACACCCACCAGACTCCGCGAGCAACCAAGCCTTGTTGTGTTCCAAATTCGTCTTCTTGCCATCGCCCAGTCCCCTCTCGGAGCCCCTCCGGCGCCGGGAAGGGTTGGCCACACAGGCAAGACCGAATTCCCAGATCATTTTTCTGAGCAAGGTTCTGAATTTGAGCTTGTTGTAGTCACAGTAGTGATCTACAACTAAGGGGGAAGAGGTTTGTGCATTGGAAAGGTCCCTGGAATCAGTGCAGGGTCCTTGGGATAAACCCATTATGAAATAGATCCCAACAACAAGCACAGAAACCCAGAAAAGCAAAATGGGGTAGAGAGAAAGAAAAAGAGAGAAAGAAAAAAGAGGAAGCAATGAAAAATAAAAAATTGAAGCGAAAAAGGTTAAGGGTGCTTTGCTTGTGGGGTGAGGGAGAATTTTTAAAAGATGGAGAAATGGAAAGGAGGCATGGTGGCTGTGAGTATAAATAATTGGATTTAAAGTAATGCTGCTGCCTGCTACTGCAGAGTCCGAGAAGGTCAAAAAATATTGAAACACCCCTCAGTCACACCAATCTTCTTTTCTTCTTCTTCCTTTTAGTAGTTTCTGCAAGAATTAATTAAATAAAAATTATTTTAAGAGTAATTTAAATAATCACTCTATATTCTCATTGCAACTAATAAAATTATTTCTTAGAAAGATTATTTAATAATAAATAAAGACTAACTCTTTTAGTTTCATTCCTTTTTAAGGTTTAATTCAATGCATCTTATAATGAAAAGATGCATAGAGAGGTAAATTAACATATGTGAGCTTATTATTTGTGGTAATTTGATTCTATAATTAAAATATGGATAATCATACTTTTAAGAATATTTTTTGACAATATTTTAACTTTATATACGTGTCATTCTGTGATTGGTTTATGTTAGTATTTATGAATATTATTATTGATTATGAAGTAATTTTGGATCAATCACATAATGACACGTGGATAATGTTAAAATATTGTAAAAAAATGTTATCAAAGTATCATTATCCTTAAAAGATATAGGGTGAGATCTTATAAATAATAATAGTTAGCATTATAATTAAATGTAAAGTAAAGTATTTAATAGATAATAATAAAATAATAATAATATTATTAAATAATCATTAAGGTATTGTATTGGGTAGGTTAGGAAAGGGAATCGTGTGTTTTGAAGGACTGAAGAAGACGGGGAACCCACAGAAGGACAGCATCCTTTAGTTGTTAGGGACACGACTCTAATGAAGTTAGAATAATCCTTTCACATGAAGTTCCTGTTCTTTAACTTATCTAAGAATAATAATAATACTTACTCATTTATTATTATTTTTTCTCATATGCAATTTTTAAAACTAGACTGAATATGCAGCGTTTGGTTTAATTTATTTAACAAATTATTTTCTTAAAATAAATAATTTTCTCGCAAATGTGTAAATAACTCTAATTTATGTTCAAATATTTTTCTTTCAATGCATTGTAAAAAATCTTTATAACTATTAGAATCTATTCATTACCATATTTCATGTTTTGGATTTATTAGAAATTAACTTTTATATACGTAATGTAACCATGTAACTGTTATAGCATTGAATAATATCAAGAAAAAATCAATTACTCGTCTTTCAATTATTTTTAATAAACAGGTTGAATAATACCATATTAGTTGTATTTTAAAATATTTTTAGCGATGAATTGTATAAATACGTATTCATATATTTAGTAAATTCCCTTTTTAGTTGATATTTTTTTGTTAATATTACTTCACAATAAATATTTTATTAACCTTTCTATAATTATTACATGATTTAATTATTTAATTTTTTCTATGTTGTTTTTTATTTATCCTTTCAAATAAATTGAAAATAAGTTTATTCAAAAGGATATTAAGAATATATTGGAAACATAACAAAAATACAGTAGCATTTATTGAAATAAGAGCGTTAAGAACATTGACCAACAGTTACCGAAAAATATTATTAATTTGTTTTACCATAATTATAATAAAAAAATTATTATTAAAATCAATATTCTCGTACCTCCACACCAGCTTAAAAAAAAATCAGCTGTTTCTAGATAAAACAAAAAGGACGCTATTTTTAAAAGTTTCAGCTGTTTTTGGACAAAAAGAAAATTAATAGTTTCAATTATATGTTTAGAATAACAGTTGAAATTTGTAAACGAAAATATAATATATGTTTAGAATAACTGTTTACTATATTTTTTTAACATTTTTTCTTTCCAATCTTATATGTACATTTTCATTTTATAGAACTGTTTTTTATTATATCCAAATAAAATAATTATCTTAAACTTTCCTTTTTAATAAATTTGTAGTTATAAAAACTAATTATATTAGAATTAATCATGAATATATAATTTAATTTTTGACAGTTGTACTGAGCTTATTTTGGAATAATACAATGCACGTGGAGTTGGAGTATTATGCGAGAAGAAAGACGATTGCTATTAATTAATCAATAATTAAGATTTTGCCTTTTTGCCTTTTCCAATGAATAAAGGTTATGCTTTACTCTTCTATGTTTCTTTTAATATTTTAATTTACTTAAAATATTTGCCGTTTTAAATGATTATTTCAAGTATTACCACATCCAACCACAGTAGTCTACTTTAACAAAGAAGCCATTTTTTACTGTGTTCAGAATTAAAAGAAAAATGTGTTAATTAATGTTTTTGTAAAAGATAGAAGATCATTACTTTTAAAAGAAAGTAGATAATAAATGAATGAGTGTTGTAATGTTGGTATAATTTTAAAATTATTGTTTGTTGAGGGGGTAAGGGACAAAAAATGGCAGAATGTGGGAGAAAATAGTAAAATAATAATGCTAATATTATGAGAAAGATCGGAGAATGGTTTTGTGAAGGAATTGGAAACATGGAAGCCTTTATGTTCATTCGCTTCAAGTTTGGTGACCATTCGCCGCAACATGACACCGCAGCTTAGCTACTTTCTTCTTCTTAATTCACTAAAACATTTTTTCATTTATTTTTTCAGCAGTGCTGATTTCACCATGAAACACTACAGATTGAAAACGAGACCATAATTATATACTTGAAAAATTTACAGCATGAAGGTTTTAAAATAAATAATTTTATATTAAAATTTTTATATTTTCGTTTTTTTCTTATTTATATTAATTTAAATAATATATCATATTGTCGACCGATAACATTAAATTGGACGGTTCAGATGGTCAGCACACCAGGATAACAATCATAGTTATCAACCCAAAATCAAATGATAGTAACTTAAAGATCGAGCCTTATTGGGACAATTAGATTTAATATTGATTAACTTATAACGTTGTTAGAACAATCAAATATTTGATGTTTTCTATAAATAACTTTCTAATTTGATCGAATGGATAAATAAAACAAATTGAAAAATATAAATAAACATTTGAGTTTTTAAAACACATAACAAAATAAACGGTTTCATAACCGAAACAAATAACATTTTCTTATTTTAATTCTTTTCGTTTTTCTTTCTTGTCTCATTTATAACATTTGTGTTTTTTTTTGGTTGTCAAAAACACTGTATGTTTATTGCGTTTGGGTATGTAATATTCTCGGTTGGAGAAGGACTTTTAAGAGTTCTAGATCATGAATTCCAAGTATTTAATATGAATACCTCTAAATTTTGCAAAGAAAATTCATTATTTGAGTTTCATTTTCAGGCGAACGTAATAAAACTCCAATATTGTAAAAATACAAGTTTCAAAAACAATATCAATTAACAAGAAAAGTGGTTACAGTTACTTATTTTATAAACCTAAAAGACTATCATGTGGTGTTTGGTGAACCTCTAACACAATCAATTGATTTAAACTTTTCCTTTTCAAATATAAAATAGCAATTTGAATCTGAGCTGAGTTGAAGTATGACATTGTCGGTCGCTGAAGAGTTTTTAAAGACTTTAGAGTTATCAAAACAATGCAAACATATCATATCATATATATTTTTATATTTTTATATTTTTATAAGAGAGAGGATTAGGACCCACACCTACCAACACCATCAATAATAACATAATTATAACGATAATAATATTCAAAATTAATCCACAATCGCTATCTGCAATACCAACTTTCTCTAATATTATATACTCACCAAATTTCATGGGACATTGTTGAATGGTTTCTCACAATTGTTTATATATAAAGGACACGTGCAGCTCTGTGTTCTATCCATAGTTTCAAAATATATACTGTGAGTAAATTTTATTAATGTCAAAATATTAAATCGCGCCTATTTTTTGTTGAAAAAATATCTATATTAATTGACCAATCATGTCTTAAAATTCTACGTGAATAATTAAGAGATTAATTGGATAATTAACAGAATATTAATTAGTATATGAAAATTTGTAATACAAAGTTGTTTACCGGACATAAATATGAGGTTGGAAATTATTAGGTAGGGCTTTTTTTAGGTTACCTTTGTATCTATATTTTTCTTTGAATTCGTGAGAAACGTCAAAAGTGTTCTAACATATACGAGAATGTAACAAAAAAAAATTACAATAAATTAGCTCAAGAAAAAAATAATCTTAATAACAAAAAATGTTTTATTTGTTATTTATAAGGATTTATGGATAAACTCATTAAAAAAATCCCTACATTGTACAATTCACAAACAAACAACTTAAAATATCATTCCTAGAACACCATTTCAGGGCTTTTTTATTTTTTTTGCGGACGTATAAATAGTTTTTGTTAACAGTAATATAAGTCTTAGTTTACTCTTGTTGACATACACATAATATTTACCAAAAAAAATAATGGAGGCGTTTTGCATAACTTAATTAATTAATTAAATTACTTTAACAATTTTTTTCATTTTGAAATTAAAAAAAGAGAGTCAAATAAAATTTATATCCAATTATCTAACGTCCTTATCAACCGTCGAAAAGAACAAAATTTTCTTTTGTATTTTCATGACATGTTATACTATTTCATCAATAAATCACAATAACTTCTGCACACTTTTATCAAGTGATGTTGTTAACCTTGAACATTCTATTCCTAAACTACATCATAATCAAATCAATATTATAAAATTTAAATAGTAATAAAAAGTAAAAAATAAAAGAAAATATTAAATAAAATATAGGTCACACTTGCATATTTTATCTAGAAAATAAAGCTAATTTTATATAAAAGAAAAATCTAGGATATTGTTACATCTATAATATAATGTAACAAAACTTAAAATAAAATACTTATCTTAACATTAAAATATTATATATGTGTATATATTGAAAAGAAATTTAAAAATTTGGGGGAGCCCAAGTCTCCACGTAACAAATTGCATCTCTGTTTCTGAACTTTTATCATAATTTATTTCCACTTTTAAGAAAATGTAATTTGCAATTGACCTCATTTTGACAATCAATAATTATTAATTATACTTGATTTTATTGGATTTTAGTGTAGATTTATAAACAAATGATAACATTTTAACGGTTGACTTGAGAAAAGAAAAAGATATAAGTTATTAAAAAAAAGTTTAGAATCTTTATAAATATAATAAATATGAATAATTATGAAGTAAATATTTTTTCATAAATATTAATTGTATTAATAAAATCAACATAGATATAAGCCTATTTTTTCACTAAATTAATACTTACTTCAAGTATATAATAATAATAATACGTAGTTAATAATAATATAATGATTTCTTTTAATAAATAATAAACATAATATTAAACTGGTAAAATTAATTATGATATATTAATATTGTTCTAATAAATGTAAGGTTGGAGTAATCGAAAATAAAGAGGTTTAAACCATGTTATTTATACATCTATTGAACCGGATTGGAAGAATCCCATTTCGAAATTCATCAAAGTTTGAATAAATTGGACACATATGTTTAACAAATGATATACATTACCCTTATCTAGTAGCACTAGCGACCGAGTCTTTTTTCCTTCTCTTTGTCTTCTTACAATGAAAATAAGTTACATAGCTATCTTTCTTATTGTCGGGTTTATTTTGTGAATGACACTTATATATGTTACGAACCAAACAATTTAGGTTTGGTAATGTTTCATTTTCCTTACCCTTCTGAGGTTAAGAAAATCTTGTAAATATAATGTCATTGTGTACTATCGTATACAAACATACAAAATTTTCATCCATCTATCAATCATAGATGTTTCAACAAACTAATTAGTACAAATAATTATTACTACAACTACCACCTCCCCCTAAAAATAACTTACGAAAATACAAAATCACACCAACATAAATAGGGTATTTGACTATCGTGTAATGAAAATTAAGGTAATTAAATTTTATAACTTTAGAAGTAACCTTTATCTTGTAAATTATTAATGCATGTTCATAACCTCCCCATAGTACAAACCTTATCGTTTAAGGAACTTAAAGTTTATCGGTGCAGTTTCTTTGCATGGACTGGTACGGCATATCGATAATTTTGCTTTTCTTTTATGGCATGTTTGGTTTGTTAAAGAAAAAAAAAGATATTTTCTCTTATTTAATTGTTTAAAAATTTGTATATAACATAATTATCCTTAATAAAGGAGAAAAGTGTGTTTAATTGGTTCTAAACCAACCGAGTACTTTTAAATCAACTGTTTCAAACGAAAGGGCTACTTTTCCAAGGTGGTGGTTGTTCTGTTCCTTCTTAATGACATTTATTTAAATTTGTTTTTTTTTATTTTAGGTACAGTAACAATATTTCCAACTTAGTACTATCAAATTAAATTCCTTTATAAATGTTTTTAAAAGTGCATCCAAAACAATCAAGTAAATTTATTAGGTGTAACATCTCCACATTCATTAGCTGGTCATATAGTAAAAAAAATGTCATGTTGAACTAGCCTTTTGCTGTTATGCAATAATGTTGCCGAAAGAAGATTTTCAATAATGAACATAAACCCATATATCCAATCCAATACAGTGTTTATGAGCCGAAATTAGCTGGAATTCCATTAGCATTATCATGTCAAACCATGTCAACAACAAAAAAATCATCATAAATGATGCAAAAATGTTAAGACATTGATAGTTAGAATATTTACTTTCAACCTCATGTTCACGGAGCAAGGTGAGATAGAGAAAATTTATGAGATCAGACTGTGATTTTCACTAATTTTAGTATCTACTTTTGATTCACTGAATAGAATCTAAATGAAGCCTATTCTTGTATGTGATTCAGTAATATGAATTTGAAATGCTGTCTAAAATTGAAGTGCAAACTAAACAAGTGGTGTACCTTAACTAAAACTTAGTTGGTATTTCTTATAAAAGTCTCTGTCAGGGAGTTGCAGTTATATGGTGAAGTATCAAATCAATCTCTAATGTCTCCTCTGCATTTTCTTTCCGTAATTGCAGACTCGAGCTGTATACAGTTACACATAGTTATCTTTGAGGTCATATTTTAGCTGTGTTAGGCTTTAGCTTTAGCCAACCTAACATAACATTTGTACAGAAAAGATAAGTAGGACCAAATCAGCAGTATGATTTTCCATATTGGACCATTCATCAAAACCTCCTCTCTTCAAAATGTTGTCAAGTCTCTATATATTTCAACCTCAAGCATAGGGGCGCTGCTGTTAAAGGCCTTGTTTAACATGTTAAATGGTGTTTAACATGCTTCAGAATTCTTAATTAACAGGTTTCTTCCATGAGATGATCAATTACAAGGTTGATTTAACATGTAAGAAGTTGCGTCTAATCTTTAAAATCATTCTTAACATCTTTTTTCCCACCTCCTTCTCGCAGCTTAACAAAGTAACCTGTCAGTAGTAAAAAATATCTAGTAAATTGTTGGATTATGTCACATTTTACTTACTAACATTTATCAGTGAAAGTAAACTTTTAATATATTAAATTAGGATAAAATAGTGTTTATTTATTTGAATTTAATTGATATGCTAATAATTAAACTTTATTAGAGGAAGTGTTAAGTAAACTGAAAGGAGAAAACACATCACATTTTTTTTTTTAATGGAGGGAGGTCATGTATGGTTTGGTGTGATGTGTCTCCACTGTGAGATGAAGTTTTATTTTAATGAGACATGCAAATAGATTGGATTGAAAATGGCTCAACACTTAGTCTGCAATTACGTGGACAACGTTAATGGAAGCTTTGTAAATTTTGGAACAACTAAAGAGAGGTTGGAAAATTGACAGAGTTGGTGTGGGTAATATGATGAGAATAGATAGAATAAAGTTTGGGGAAAATTTTACGTATTCATTCTCCAATTAAATTTAGAATTCACGAACCTGTTCATGGATAAGATGATGGGAAATATTGGAGAAATTGTGAGAGAAGAAATGTCTTATGTATGGTATATTTATGCATGGAAGATGAGGATGTGGTAAATGATATGTAGATACAATGCTACTGCCAAATAGAAGACGCATTATAAAATTTTGTTGTTAAAATTAGTAAGAGGGGTTTAAATCCTAGTCTAAGAGGGGTTTCGCTCCTCTATCAGTATTCTATTTGAATTGCAACTTAATCCAACCTACAACTCTTTTCGTAACTCGAGTTTCAATGAAAAACTTAAATAGTAAAAACAAGGCCCAAGCATGCACTAATCACATTATGACCCAAGCATGTGCTGAGATATAATCAAAATCAGGCCTAGCCATATATTGAGATATCTAATCAAAACAAGGCCCAAGCATGTACTGAGATTTATTCAAAATAAGGGTACTTAAAATTCAACCAGGGATCCCAAACTCCGAATAAGGTGACAAGCCTTCAGCTGGCTTGATATCATATAAAGGAAAGAACTAAATGCTATTAGACCACATATTAATTCCAGTTTACTACTATCAATTTTAACATACGGATGCTGTGATTATGATCCCAAATAGTAAACACAATTACACATCAATTGTATAATAATAATAGAAGCAAAGATAGACTCACGTTTCCAAGCAGGATTGCTAAGAACCGTGTTAAATCTAAAAATAAAGTGTCTCGCAGCAAGCTAAAGATCTTTCAATCTCGTAAGGATAAACAAAAGATCTAATTCTAAATACACTGAATGTAACGAGGACAATTGACAATTGATGACCCTTACAAATAAGTGCAGACACCAGACAACCTCCATAGATCAGAACATACAAGGCCAGACTTAAAGGGTGCTCGTTGAAACCTCCAGATAGATCATTGAATCATATATAGAAACTAAAGGTCTATACAAGTTTGGAAAAAAAAAAGTTCATCCACTGTATATAGCCCACTTCAAGTACGTTTTCTTCTCTCTTTGTTTCCAAACAGCTAGTTGTGAAGTTCTGACCAATGAGTACTACAAATGCATGCAAAAATGCAGAAATAGCCAAAAATGATAATCTAGATTAAATCAGAAACAAATGAAAAAAGAAATTAAGATCAGTGAAAATAGATAAAGCCTTTTTCTTTTATAATATTTACCAGAAACAAAAAAACTATATGAACTTCATCCACTCTAACCTTATAAAGCAATTCTACGAGGATCTTTTGCAGTAACAATATACAAAGCTGATACATGCCATAGCCAACAACTTGCTCAGCATAATCAAAGCATCACCTTAAATAACCACTTCAAAATTTCCCTCTCTATAGCAGATAAAGCCAAACTTTCAACTTTGGTACTAACATTAAACTACACAATTTTAGTAAATTCCATAGCACTTATTGAGAATTGCACTTTCTCAAAAGTTCTTCATACACAAATTCCTTTCTTTCCTTGACAAGGGTTTGTCTCAGTTTTGACAGTGTGGAAGAGGACAACCTGATTCCTCTTCCAATCATATCCTCAGCATACTTAACCGCCTCCGGAACCCTATTCAAATCACGAAGCCCCACAACCAGAAAATTCGCTGTCCGCTCCAAATCACTCTGATAATTCTCAACCAAACACTTCCAAACCTTCATCGCCAAAAGAGGCTCCCCACCATGCACATATACCTTAACCGCCGCATCACAGTTATCCTGATCCGGCACAAACTCGTTCTTCACCATCTCAGCAAACACTGCAGACGCCTCTCTCAACTTCCTCCCCTTGATCAAGAACTTAAACAGCAAATTATAAGTCTCCACATCCGGAAAGGCCCCTCGGAAAACCATTTCATCAAGCATCCTCCTCGCATCATCAGTATCACCACAATAACAAAACAAAGCAATCATCAAATTGTACATCTCCGTGGTGGGTTGCAACACCCTCCCCACCTCCACCAACACCTCCCAGAAAAACTTTGCAGTCCTAGCATCATGAAACTTGATACACTCATCCAATGCAACCTTCAAGAACCTCACACCAGGGTAACACCTCCTATCCCTCATTGAATCAACAAACTTAATAGCCTCTAGCAATCCATCAGGCCCTCTAACAAGGGCACACAGGAATGAATCATAAGCAGGCACATTGGCAGGATCCCATCCAATCTCAATCACCATCTCAGCAAAAGTCTCCTTCGCACCAAACACACCCTTATCTCCTTCTCCCTCCCATCCTTCCATCAATATCGCGTAAGAATCGGCATCCGGCCGGACAAATTTCTTTGCAATCTGCAAGTAATCACAAGCATCAACTGTCCTACCATCCCTACAAATTGCACTCAACAATGAGTTCAAAGCAATCACGTCCCTCACACAACCGTAATTCTCCATAACCTCAAAAGCCATAATCGCTTCCCGGGTTCTGTTGGCGATGACATAGCTCTCGAAGACAGAGGCAAACGTGGCCAGCGAGAGTAGCCCTTCTTTCTGCATTGACTTAATAGCGTCCCACATCGCGTCGAAGAAGCGATTCTTGCCCAAGAGGTCGACCACAAGGTTCCAGGAATAAGGAGTGTGGTTGTTGTGGAGTTGGCGGCCGCTCCACCGGAAGAATTTGACGGCCTGGCCTGGGAAGCCGTAGGAGAGTCTGAGGACTTCCTCGACGTCGTGAGGGGTGATGACGACTGCGGCGCCTTCGAGGGCGTGCTCGATGGCGGCGGCGGAGGTAGTGGCAATGAGGTGACATAGGGATTTGATGTTGGAAGGAAGGTTGGGGATGTCTTGGAAGGAAGGGAAATTGGGGCGCTTGGTAGGTGGAGGAGAAGGAGAAGAAGAAGAAAAGGGATGGCTTCGCTTTCTGCTAGCTCGAGGGCTTTCTTCCATGGCGAAACCCTAACAAGAACAATGAACAAACACAAGATTGCAATGTTCTTTCGTCTTTACTGTGTTTTCTGGGTTTTGTGTAAGGAAAATATAATACTATTTTCCTTTATTTTTTTTAAGCTTTTAAATGTTTTTTTTAAGTTGAAGTTGATTATGGATGCAAAATATGTTTCTAGAATAAGTTCCGATTCAAACAAAATTACAATATTACTTTTGCTTTTTATGGAAAATAATAATAAATTATTCTTTTAAGTGTTGAATTTTTATTTTTCTTATTTATTTATCTACTGTTTTCAAAGTTTAAGATTATGAATGATTTATCTAAAAAATAGTATGAAAGTCGAAATGGCCTAAGAATGAGTTTCTGTTCCATGAAAATTACAATGCTATTTCCTTTTGTTTTTTCCTATTGTCATGGATGATGATAATGATAATTAAATTTTTATTTTCCATAAGCTTGATTATTTAGGTAATTCTATTTTTAAAATTGAAGAATTCGATTAAATGTTTTATCTAGATTAATTAAAGAAAATAAAGAAATAATATAAAGAGGAAATGAATTTTTTATATATTATTACTAATTAAATTATTAATTTTTTTATTTTTTTATTAAGTTTAATTATTTATTTTCTAAAAAGTTTAATTTAGTTTTATTTACACATTAGTATTTGTAATTAAGGGTTAAATATGTTTTTAGTCCCTAAACTATTAGGAAAAGTAAGGTACAATTTGTTCCTCATTCTTTTCGAAACGTTCGTTTTAGTCCTCGTAATTTTTAAGCATTATTTAGTTTTGGAGGACTAAAACGAACGTTTCGAAAAGAATGAGGACCAAATTGTACCTTATTTTAAAAGAGGGACGAAAACCAGAAACGATCAATAGTTTAGGGACTAAAAACATATTTAACCTTTGTAATTCAAAGTTTCATTTTAAAATTATTATTGTTTTAAATTCAGTTTTTATATTTTATATTCTATTAAGCATTAACACGTAATTTTTTAATTTTCTTAATTATTTAAAAATAGTTCATTTATAATCTTTGTTTGTTGTATTTTTTATTTATATTAATTTATAATTCAATAAAACAGGAGCTACATTTATTAAAGTTATAGAAGAAATACGAGTAAGAAATTAAAGTAATGAGCTTTTTAAAAATTTATTATCCTTTGTAGAACTGTGAAAATGGGTAACCTGGTCTAATCCAACCTGACCCATCACGGGTTGGCTATTTAGTGAGCCAACCAAACCTGGCTCATTCGAAAAAATTTAAACCTAACCCGACCCATCACGGGTTGATGGGTTAAACGGATTGGCTCATTGGCTCACTTAATTAACTTTTTCTTTCACCATCTTCTTCTCATATTCTTATAACATGTTACTTTGATCGATCAAATTGAACCAATAATAATTGGACGAATTGATATAAAAAAAATGAAACAAAAGAAATATATTGTTATATATAGTCTAAGCTATCAAGGATAAAATTTTGACAATTTAGTTTAATGAAACACACACAACCGTTTAACCAAGAAACTACATATAGCGTTAACAAAAATATATAACACAAGATAAAATTGTTGTACTTGTAGATATGTCTAAAAACAAGATTAAACAAATTATATATTCCTGAATTATCCGATTTATAATATTATTCATCTATTAAATTGGAGTTTTAAGTGGATAAATCCATAGTATTATGCTCCCTTGAAGCATCTTCTTCTTTATCTCCATCTATAATATTATCCAATCTATAATCTTAGGGTTTTATTTGTAGAGGGGAACTTTTGGAAAGACAGCAGTCTTCTTTATCTCCATCTATAATATTATCCAATCTATAATCTTAGGGTTTTATTTGTAGAGGGGAACTTTTGGAAAGACAGCAGTCTTCTTTATCTCCATCTATAATATTATCCAATCTATAATCTTAGGGTTTTATTTGTAGAGGGGAACTTTTGGAAAGACAGCAGTGCGAAAGACTCTATTGCTAAGTAAATGTTGTGCATTTTGAATAATTAATTTAATTAATTTGATTTCAATGAAAAAAATAGGATTTGAATAATTAATTTAATTTAATTAAAAAAATGTGGGTTGGTGAGTCAACCCGACCTACCACGGGTTCAACTTATGTGAGTCGGGTTCTTAGTGAGCCGGGTCAAAACTGGCTCACATAAAAAATTTTGCATTTTTTTTCAATCCAACCTGATTCAAACTCGTGAGGAGCCTGATCTTGACTCACGAGTTTCAATCCATTTTGAATGTGAAAGAAGTATAAAAATAGGTTTTGTTAGGTTTTCAAAGTGTATGGAACACTTCGAATATTATATTATCTAACTTCTTTTAATTGTGATCATATAATCACAAAACCTAATTTTGGAAAGAAATATTTAGAGTAATTTAGTCATAACTCGATCTCACCACTAATTAATAAGTTAATAAAATTGGTAAACCTAACACTAAAATAATTAATTTTAAAATACAATTTTCTCCGTTAATTAAACTTTTTTATTTTATCATACATAATTGATTAAAAAATGTCAAATTAACTTACTTTTTCAAGTTTTTATATAATACATAAGTTTTAATTTAAATTATTCTAAATAAATAGATGAAATTTTTATATTTAGATGAACTGTTAATTATTATAACTAATTTTTTTTAATAAAACTATTTTTTTTCTAAACCTAACTTCTCTCAAAATCTTCTTTTTTTTTTCTTCCAAAATTTTTAATTAACTCTCATTGAAGATTTATCATCACACGAGTGATTAATGCGAAGAACTTTATCAAGGTTTTTTTTTATCGATTTCTCTTTTTAAATGAGTTTGATTTTTGTATTATCACTATAAGAACAATATGTTTTTCTTCCATGCAAGTTATTTTTTAGTGTATGTTGTCTTCTTTCCTTCTCAATGAAACTCTCTTGGTTTATAATTCTAAAAGATTTTGTCTTGATCATTGATCGATCTGTGATTATATATAGATAGAGTAATTTCTTTTGAGAAGTTGTTTAAGAGAGGAAAGTATAAACTCTATCAAGTAAATGAATTTAATTTATGAAGATTTTTATGACCATAATTCGCCTATTTTGGGATTGATGCCAAAGGTGTTTAACAACTCAATATCCCCTCTTGTATACTTTTTATCCTACAAGTATAGTGACTATTATCTTTTCATATCAATTTGTATGTTATGTTTGATGAAAATTAATTAATATAATATGTCAAATGAATTATCTTAGTTTATAAGTATTTTCGCATTTCCAAGTTTGTTATCTCCATCATGATGATAACTAGATAATCTTGCTAGCATCTAATATTGTCAAAACTATCATAATTGAACATTATAAAAGTAAATTGTATCTAGTCCTTATATTTGTAATATTGAAGCTCCCTAAATTAATTTAAAATAGTTTTGAATAATCACACTTGTAAAATCACCAACAATGATATTAATGAATCTTTTTTTTTTTAATTCTTACGTTGTGATTTCATTATATCTTTGTAACATCGAATTACTTCACATAATTTTGGAATTGTGTTTTTTTTCATCAATCACTTTTATTACAATCTTTATGTTCTCCTCTATTTTCTCCATGTTGAGTTTTTATTAAAGTTTGGAGATTATTTTTGTAAAACTCGAGAAATTTATGGTTTATAAATAAGAGTGTATAAAATAAAGAAAGATACTTTAAATAATAGAAGTTGAAGATTAGAAAAAAAAAATAAAACTTTATGTTTTAAAATCACTTGAGATATTATAGAGATATTATAGGGAGCACTACCTAATTGGTTTCTTTTAGTTATAATATAATTTAATTTTAAAAGATAAAAATGGGGACAATATCTTACCAGTTCTACTATTAGGTTATTTTCAACTATAGTATTAGAGTTAAAGTCTAATCAAACAGGAGGAAAGTAATTTGACATGTATTAACCATTACCAAACGTTTTTCATTATGTGTCTTTAAAGAGAAGTTAGTGTTGATGATTATTTTTTTTATTGATGTGTTATGGGATATGGTTTGTTTGGATACATTGTGTATATGAACTCAAACTTATCTTGTATCCCTTCCTTTAATACATACAGATACCCAAACTCACATGATTCATATCAGTGAAGTGTTTTTGTCTCTAAAATAATTATTACATTACTCTAATACAATAATAATAATAAGAACAAATACAATGATTTTCTGACCGCATGAACTTATAAATTTATTATACTATAATTATATAAATAAGAAATAAGTCTTATTACTACTTTTCATTTTTTGGATATTAGATATATAGATAGATTATGTTTATTTTTTGGGTTAAATATGTTTTTAGTCCCTAAACTATTGGTCGTTTCTGGTTTTCGTCCCTGTTTCAAAGTAGGGTACAATTTGGTCCTCATTCTTTTCGAAACGTTCGTTTTAGTCCTCGAAAACTAAATACTGCTTAAAAATTTGGTAAAACGAACGTTTCGAAAAGAATGAGAACCAAATTGTACCTTACTTTGAAACAGTGACAAAAACCAGAAACGACCAATAGTCTAGGGACTAAAAACATATTTAACCCTTATTTTTTTTATCAGGTGATAATAAATTCTTATATTTGACTAATATGGTTTATAGATCATTTTAAGTATATAAATATTAGTTGTTAAATTAAATAATTTAATATATAGATATATATTCATGTATCCTACATTTTGGAGACTACACAAGTATTGTGTTGTGTGCAATGTCTATGTTAGTCTCATGCTACACGTATGAGTGTTGCTAGCAATAATAACTTGAAAGTTATTGACATGAGAACTATCAATGGAAGAAGATTGTCAACTTCAATGAGTTTTTACATATTACCATTAATTAGAGAGTCGTTCAAACAAATCTGTTGATAATATGTTAGATATTTATTCTAGAAGACAAAAAAAAATATTATATTGAACTTGGCTGTAAAGAGTCATAAAAATATCTAGTTTAGAAAAAAAATACTGAATAATATATTTCTAAATTTAAAATTTGAGGTATGTTAAATTTATTATATATTTTTCATTTAATAGTGTATCTATGTCTTGGTATATTTTATGTTATTTTATTGTTTCGAGATTATATGTTTGTTAGATATT